AAAAAAAAAATTCTTGGTTGGTGTTCTCACTAGTTACTTCACAATTTTCTTACCTTTTCATACCTCACATTTGTTTGCTGCACTAAGTCTAAACTTCCATTCTCACTATAGATCTAGCTGTTAACTACTTGTAATCTAAGCGCTTAGGGAGACTGACCTGTAGGATTGCCAGTTCAAGCCCAGCCTGGACTTTTTTTCTTTTTTTGGTACAGGGTCTCACTATACAGCTAGACTCATAGTGATTCTCCTGTCTCAGCCTCCCTAGTGCTGGGATTACAGGCAAACACCACTACACCTCACTTGGGGGTAGGCATGGCATGCTGGGGTTCCAGGGCTTGCACAGCATGTGGTATCAAGGATCAAACTTGGGACCTTGCATTTGTCAGGCAGGTGCTTGTGCTACCAAGCTGTCTCCCCAGCCTGACCTAGGCTCAGTGAGACTTCTCAAAGTAAAAAAGGGTGGGAAAACCCTGGATTCAATCCCCAGTGCTTAGCGCCCCCCCCCCAAAAAAAAAATCAGCTGTAAAATTTAAAACTCTTAGCCCAAGCTGATCTCACAGATACCATATTTTGGCCAGGAAGATAGCTCAATGGCTAAGATCCTGAGTTCGATCCCAGGTACCAAAAAAAAACCTTTATACAGATACCATTTTTCCCCATTAAGCTTTTGTGGTTCATTTTTAGTGCTGACCATCCTAAAATCCACACGTGGTTTGGGTAAACAGCACTAATGCATTCTTACTGTGATTTCTTCAGTGCTTACTAACACTTGGTCCTTTCTTCACTGCTGTGACCCTATTGTCCAACAGTGCCTAGCCTATGTATTGTACATTCTTAAAAATATTCTTTCAGAGCCAGGGATATAGCTTAGCGGCATAAGTGCCTGCCTGGCAAGTACAAGGTTGCATTTCAATCCCAGTACAAAAACAGAAACATTAATTAATATATATTGAAAGAATATATATATATATATATATTCTTTCACTATACTCTTACTTGTTTGGTGGCAGAGGTAAGACAGGGTCTCACTGTACAGTTCACCTGAACTCACTGTGTAGCTGGCCTGGCCTTGAACTTCAGTGATCTTCCTGCCTTAACCTCCCCAGGGCTGGTATTATAGGCATACCCACTATGCCTGGCTTGCACTCTTAGTCTTAAGTCTTAATTCTCTAATTTATCTTCAAGGGATCAACCTTTTAATTATGATAATCACATCCATTCTCAGACCTTAAGCTCTGCCAGATTAGATAGTCTAATATCAGCATCTTAGCACATTTCTCCCACCTGCACTGTAGTCCCTCAAAAGTGCCATCTGTTCTCTTATGTATTTTGAAACAGTATGTCAGAAATTAAAATTACCTCCTCAGCTCTTAAATCCTTTTTCATTGTCTATTTCTAAATTATGTTGTTACTACCATGATTTTAGCCTGAATCTGTCATCATTTTCTTTTTATTATGAATCAAACTCAGGACCTTGTGTTTGCCAGGCAGGCACTGTGCCACCAAGCTATATTCCTGTCCTCTTTTTTCTTTTTTTTTTTTTTTGCGGAAGCAGGGATTGAACTCAGGCCCTTGCGTTTGCCAGGGAAGTGCTTATTCTACTGAGCCATCTCCCTGGCCTCTTTCTTCATTCTTGTAGATCTATTTCTTTTTCTCTCCCTTTTTAATTCCCTACCCTTCTTCCTTCTTGCTCCTTCCAACTCTTGGTCCCCTTCCAACTTTCAAAAGCTCTGTTCATTTTTGTTCCCCTTCACTTCTTTCCTTTTTATCCTTTTTTATCCCCATCTCTTACTCCTCAGCCATTTCAAAAAGATCATCCTACTTCCTATTTATCTTCTTCTATTTTTCTCTGTAAGTTTTTCATATAAGCGAAACTGTGAGATATTTAAGTTTGTATGTCTTACTTCACTTAATTTATGGTCCTAAGTTTCGTCCATTTACCCTCAAGTAATGAATGCCTCCAGTTCATCTTTTTCAGGTTTTTTGTTTTTGTTTTTGTTTGGTACCAGAGATTGAACTCAGGACCTTGTGCTTGCCAGGCAGGGACTTAAGCTGCTGAGCTATCTCGCCAGCCCAATTATAAAAGTATAAATGATGGGGGCCGGGGAGATGGCTCAGTGGAATGAGTTTCCCCGGCAAGCTCAAGGGCCTGAGTTCAATCCCCGGTTCTGCGCCAAAAAAAAAAAAAGTATAAATGATCTGTGTCTTGCAAAAATAATCCTTTGTGTAGTATTTTTCCCTAAACAGGCATTTTTTTTTTTTTGCCATGTTATAGTTTAATGCCCTTGATAGATTTGCTTCATTATCTTCGAATCTACTTTTCCAACCATCAGTCCCTCTTCTACCTTTCTGTAACTTGTTGACTTGTTTTACTTGGAAGTTCTTTAAGGCACAGAAGGTATTAGAAGCTAGGTATGGTGGCACATGACTGTACTACCAGCACCCTGGGAGAATGAGGTAGGAAAACTGCAAGTTTTAGCCTTTCCCTGGCAACTTAGTAGTTTGGGAGATCTTATTGACTGGGGATGTAACTCTGTTAAAGCCCTGGATTCTTTCCCCAGTACTGCAGTGCATGCCTATAATCCTGGCACACAAGAGGCTGAGTTACAAGAATTGCTGCAAGTTCAAGGCCAGCGTGGGCTTCATAGTACATTCAGGATTAGTCTAAACTATATAACAAGACCCTGTCTCAAAAAAAACTGTTTGTTAGGGGCCGGGGAGATGGCTCAGTAGGATAAGCACTTGACCGGCAAACGCAAGGATCTGAGTTCAGTCCCCGGTTCCGCAAAAAAAAAAAAATGTTTGTTGTTTCTTTTACTTTTTTTATTCTTTCCCACACTGAAGCAGTTTTGTTTAGATTTTGTGTTACTTTGTCTAGTAGGTTGAGTATAATTTGTCCTAGGTCTTTTTTAGCCTCAAGTGTAGATTCTTACATAATTTCTTTCCCTAATGAATATGTCAAAGTTGACAAGCTGCTATTCTTTTCTAGAAGAAAACTGGAAAGCTGAAGACTTTTTAATGAAATTCAAGGAACACCAAGATAAATATTCTAGATCAGTTGTGTGCATTAATCATAACAAACTGATAAAGCAGAAGAGTAGTATATGTGAAAAGACACTTGCCATAGTCAAAAAGCCTATTAATCAAAAAAATCTGTCTCCTAAATATGACACTCATGGAAAGACTTCAGAAAATGTTTCAGAATTAATAATCAGTAATGTGAGTCCTGCAAGAAAAAGACTTAATGAGTATAATGAATATGGGAAATTATTCTTTAATACTAAGCAAGAACTAGCTCATCCTGAAATCAAATCCTTTAATCAAAGTGGTAGACCTTTTAGTCACAATGCTGTGATTATGCAATATCAGAACATGATAATTCCAACACAGTCATTTGCATATCATTACTGTGAAAAGCCATTCCTAAAAAAGGAAGGCTTAATTACACCTAATAGGACATATAGAGGGGAAACCCCATCTGTATATACTAAAAAGAAAAGAGCAACCAATATTGAAAAAAAACATACCTGCACTGAATGTGGGAAGTCTTTCTGCAGGAAGTCAGTATTGATACTTCATCAGGGAATTCACACAGAGGAAAAACCCTATCAATGTCATGAGTGTGGAAATGCATTTAGAAGGAAGTCATATCTTATTGACCATCAAAGAACTCACACAGGAGAGAAACCCTTTGTTTGTAATGAATGTGGCAAGTCCTTTCGCCTAAAGACAGCCCTCACTGATCATCAGAGAACACATACAGGAGAGAAGTCCTATGAGTGTCCAGAATGTAGGAATGCTTTCAGATTGAAGTCACACCTCATTCGTCATCAGAGAACACACACAGGAGAAAGACCATATATATGTAATGATTGTGGGAAGTCCTTCCGCCAGAAAACGACTCTTTCTTTACATCAAAGAATTCATACAGGGGAGAAACCTTATATCTGTAAAGAATGTGGAAAGTCTTTTCACCAGAAGGCAAACCTTACTGTACACCAGAGGACTCATACAGGAGAGAAGCCTTATATTTGTAATGAATGTGGGAAATCCTTCTCTCAGAAGACAACCCTCGCTCTTCATGAGAAAACTCATAATGAGGAGAAACCCTATATTTGTAGTGAATGTGGAAAGTCCTTCCGCCAGAAGACAACCCTTGTAGCACATCAGAGAACACACACAGGTGAGAAATCTTATGAATGTCCTCACTGTGGGAAAGCCTTCAGGATGAAGTCCTATCTCATTGATCACCACAGAACTCATACAGGAGAAAAACCATATGAATGTAATGAATGTGGGAAATCCTTCAGTCAGAAAACAAATCTCAATCTACACCAGAGAATTCATACAGGGGAGAAGCCTTACATCTGTAATGAATGTGGGAAGTCATTTCGTCAGAAGGCAACCCTTACTGTACATCAGAAAATACATACCGGGCAGAAATCCTATGAATGTCCTCAGTGTGGGAAAGCCTTCAGCAGGAAGTCATATCTGATTCATCATCAAAGAACTCACACAGGAGAGAAACCATATAAATGTAATGAATGTGGAAAGTGCTTCCGACAGAAGACAAATCTCATTGTTCATCAAAGAACTCACACAGGTGAAAAACCTTATGTTTGTAATGAATGTAGTAAATCCTTCAGTTATAAGAGAAATCTGATTGTCCATCAGAGAACTCATAAGGGAGAAAACTTGGAAATACAATAGATGAAGTGATTTCTTTGTGAAGCCTATTATAATCCTTTAGTTTTAGAAAGAAAAGCATGCTTAAACATGTTCATGTGATTTTAATCACAAATTAGTAATAATTATTAAAATCACATTATATAACTACCCTTCTCAAGCATAAGAAAAAGATATGATTTTTATTGAACACAGTTGTCTATAAAGCTAAAGATTTTAGCTGTCCCTGCTGACTCAAATGCTTTATTAAAAAATACTTATATAAATATAAAAGTTTAAATTATCTGAATTAAGCTCTATAAGAGAAAAACTATGAAATTCTCATTCTGTATAATGAAGTGTAATTTTTTGTTCCTCTCTCAAAAATGACTTCCCTGACTTACAGTTTTTGCATGTTTTTAAACTATATTTTCAAACATATATTATGAATTCCTTTCTGTCCTTATTTTACTGAACATGTTAAAGATTTGTACATTATTGCACGTGGCAGTAGTGTATTCATTTTCTATACTATTCCATTTTAAGAATATACTATTTATCCTATAGATATTTGTATTTTTATAATTTTGTGTTAAAATATTGCCATAAATATTCTTGGTTATGTCTTTTGGTGTGTATCTGTTTATACCTAATGCAGAAATTATTAGTATTATTTATTTATTTATTTTATTGAGAAACATATCAATGAGGTACTTTGCAAGATGATTAATAGGACATTGTTATCTTCTCAGCAGTCATCTACAGCCCAAGAAGCAGCCAGAACATCCTGTCCAAACACTACTACTGCAAATCCTTTTTTTCACGGAACCAAGCGAAAGCAGCCGTACATCTATCCTAACTATTCTGTATATACAAATACAAAATGGTCCTTCCTCTGTATCCCCCTTCTCCAGTTCACATTAGTATTATTTAAATCTTTATCATAAATATTGCCAAACATTTCTCAACATGATTGATTTTGGAGAGAGACAAGTTTAAACACAATTAAAGGGCTGACCAGATAACTCAGTGGAATAAAGCACCTGCTTAGGCAGAGCGCAGCAGCTGGGATTTGATTCCTGACGTGTAGTGCCGGCCCCGCCCCCAGGGCACCCTGAGACAGTAATTGAGACTGGGCATGGTGGTGCGTGCCTGTAATCCCACTGCTTGAGGGGCTCAAAACAGGAAAATCACTACAAGTCCAGTCTACGTAGTGAGACCCCTTAGATCTTGTCCTAAATACATTAAATAAATAAATACAATTAATATAGCAAAGTCTTTGGCACGCATTTAAATAAAAATTCTCCCCGAAAAGAAACATAATACATGGGCCTGCTTGCTGGCCCCACCCCTGGCGCATGCTGAGACAGCAGCTGAGACTGGGCTGGTGGCATGCCCCTGTAATTCCATCTCTTGGGAGGCTGTAAACAGGTGGATCACTATGAGTCCAATCTAGTAGTGAGACCCTGAACACCCTGTTGACACTTCCTTGAAAATACAAAAAAAGAATAATTATGAGAGGCTACATGAATGTAATAAATGTAGGAAGACCTTTAGTTGTCACACAACCTTTACCAAAAACTTCTATTGCAGAAAAATACTATAGATATGATTGAAGGAGCACTTTTAATCCTAGGTTATAGCTTATTCAACAAACAGGGTTTTTTTTTAACAAGTAATTCTTACAAGAGAAAGGGATATTGACAACTATAACAGGTTAGTAAAATTTGAAAGTAAAATAATTGAGAAAATTATGAAAAATATTGTCGATATAAAAGCTTCTATCTCATAGGAATGTGTACTCTGACATCCCAAGTAAATCAATCACTGTAGAAATGTTATATTCAAGAATTAGGAAAGCGCTAAAACCGTACTTCTACAGCATCTGAGAGAATAGTAAGCGTAAGAACAACTTGAAACATGTTATTGAAGGCTTTTCTTGAGAAAGATTATTTATAACCAGTGTTTACTACACATATGAAATCTGTAATAAAATTCATATATTTTAAATAGGTCTTTTTAAAAATCCCCAAGGGCTGGGGGGATAGCGAAGTCTAAGTGCCTTCCTGGCAAACACAAGGTCTCAGGTGTGATCCCCCATAGTGCATGCCCTGTCAGCCACCAAAACTAGGTGTGGTGGTGCATGCCCGTAATCCCAGCATGGGGAGGCTGAGACAGAAGGATCACTATGAGTCTGAGCTGTGTAGTGAGACCCTGTAACAACCAAATACATTTAAAAAATAAATAAAATAGGAACTGGGGAGATTGCTCAGAGGCATAAGTACCTACTGGCAAGTGCAAGGTCCCGAATTTGATTCCCAGCCCCACATGCGGTGCCAGCATCGGAACCAGGCGTGATGGCACATGCCTGTAATCTCAGCACTCAGGAGGTTGAGACAGGAGGGTCACTGTGAGTTCAAGAGCAGCCTGGGGGCTACAAAAGTGAGCACAAGGCCAGCCTAAACTGCATAGTGAGACCCTGTCTCAAAAAATAAATATTCACTGCAGTTTTAAAAAAGCAGAGAGCTACTTGAATGCATGAGTTGGGTCAGAAATATAGTTCAGCAGCACAGCACGTGCACAAGCTCGAGGTCATGAGTTTGAGTCCTGGTATTTAAAAAAAAGCACGAGTTGAGCCTTTTTCCTGACTATGGTAAAACAAGGGACTCACACCTGTAATCTTAGCATTCTGGAAGACTGAGGTTGGAGGATGGCAAATTCGAGCCTAATCGGGCCAATTTAGCAGTTGAGCCAGAACCTGACTCAAAAGATAAAAGCAATGGGAAAGTCCCTGGGCTCATTTACTGATATTGAAAAGAAATGGTGGGAGTTGTAGTCTGTTTCTAGCAGCCAGGGTTACTAATGAGAAATCTGCCAAACTGTTTTCCCCATATAAAAAGGGTAGAGGGCCCTTTCTCAGTGTTTTTAGTATTTTTCCATTGATCATAATCAGAAGCTTGGCTGTAAATGTCTGATTTGGATATCTTTGGTTTTTATTTTTATTTTTGATACAAGGTCTCACTACGTAGTTCAGATTCATAGTGATCCTCCTGTCTCAGCTTCCCCAGTGCTGGGATTATAGGCCTACGCCACCATGCCCAATTTTGGCAGCTGGCTTGTGCAGGGCCAGCATGGCATGCAGTACCTGGAATCAAGCCCTGGTCCTTGCACTTGTCAGGCAGGAGCTTAGACTGCTGAGCTATCTCCCCAGCCCTATCTTTGGTTTTCAAACCTTGGATCTTGCTATGAAAATTTACTGAGCTATTGTCAAAATCCCGATTTGGCCAGGACACAGTGATGCACACCTGTAATTCTAGCACTCGGAAGGCTGATGCAGAAGGATCACCAAAAGTTCAAGGGCAGGCTGGACTACACAGCAAAACCCTATCTCAAAACACAAAAAGAAAGAGCAAGAAATGAAACTTTACTTTTGGTTGGGCGTTGTACTGGGGACTGAATCCAATTCATTCATACTGAGCTGCATCCCCAGTCCGTTTTGTTTTGAGACAGAGTCTTGCTAAATTGCCCAGGCTGGAGCCAGGGAGATAGCTCAGTGGCATAAGCGCAACCGGGCAAGCACAAAGTCTTGCATTCAATCCCTGTACCAAAAAATGAAAAATAGCCCAGGCTGGGCTGAAATTTGAGGTTCTCCTGCCTTGGCCTTCCACTATGTTATGCTAATTTTGTACTTTTTTTCTAAAAGTAACTGGAAATTAATTTTTAAAAAAATTTTTTAAAGTAACTGGGAATAACCCAACAAATAGGTTAATTCACTATTTCGGAATCATCACTACTGCACATAAATTTCCATTCCAAGAGTGGGGTTTTTTTTTTGTTTGTTTTTGGTACTAGGGATTGAACTCATGTCCTTTGGACTGAGCTACATTCCCAGCCCTTTAGAAAAAAAAAATTTTTTTTTTTAAATTTTCTTTTCATTTTGACAGTTTGCTAAATTATTAAGTTGCCCAGACTGGCTCAAACTGCCATCCTCTTTCCTGCCTCAACTTCTCAGAGTGCTGGGATTGTAGATGTGCATCAACACACATGGCTCCATTCTTACAAAGAATGTACTTTGTCACCTACTGAGATTTCCCTTTCCCCTCTGGACTGTTCCTTCTAATAAACCACTAAACATCTTCAACATTCAATGGCAGTTTCAGAAGTGGTAAAGCAGTGGGGTGGTATACTGAATAAACAGAGAGTTCCCCAAAAATTATCTGGATAGTTTCTGCTTCAATGCCTTACCATTTGAAATGAGTTAGAAACTTCAGTACTGGAAAAATATCTTCTGATGTCCTTGGATGTTTTGTATATTCAGATCCAAATGGGAATACCCAGAAATAAACTAAGAGAGTCCTGAGTTACTTGACAGTCCTACAGCCTCCACTTCAGTCCCAAGGGCTAAGCAGTGGCCTGACAGCCAATAAATCAGTCTTGTGTATCAGCCCACAGCAGCTCCCCCTAGACACTCAGCCTGGGCACAGGGACCTTTGGCAGTCTTCTCCACAGAAAGCGCCCAGTTGACGACAGCAGCAGAGTGTCTATCAGAAAGCTTGGTGTGTAGCAGCACAGACCCAAACCAAGGCAACTACCCTGCTCCTGCAGCTGGCCTGCACCGCAAGACGTGCTCCAGAGCAGGTCTCCTCACCACAGCTGGTGTCAGATGCTGCAGCCCACAGGCTACATTACCTAGGAATGCTGAACATTAAAATCATTACATGTCTGATGAAACTGAAAATTTTACTAATTTTTAGCCAGTAGTAATGTTTGCCTTAAAGACTCTATTGACAGCTTTTTCCTGGATACAATTTGGTTGATATCTTTTTGTGTTCTTTTCACCTTGTAAGATGTATCCATTTAAATAGTTTATAAACATTAAACAAAACCAAAAGAAAACCATTTTACAACTCTGACTTCAACTGGACATGGTGATGTACACCTATAATTCCAGCACTTAGGCTAGGGAAGGAGGACTGCTCTGAGTTTGAAGCCAGTCTAAGCTAGAGTGAGTTTGAGATCAGCCTGGAATACACAGCCAAGACCCCGTATCTTTAACTGAAAAGTTGAGACAATTTACATTTACTGGGATTAACATTCTACCTTATGTGTAGTTCCCTAAATGATCTCATTATATCCCCTGGTTTTAATGTAATCTGAAATTAGGACATCTACTTTGGTTACTTTACTGACTTCTCTTCTGCTTTCCACTTGGTGTAAAACAAACCTCTTAAATCCAAACCAATTGTTGTCTATTCTCTCATAATTTGCTCTATCATTTTATTAAGTGCAATCTTGACAGTTTAAAGTTTGTAAGCTTGTCCTTGATTCAGTGGACACTGTCATCATTCCCCTCAGCAACCCTTATCAGCTCACCTCTAAAATATTCAAAACTGGGGCTGGAGAGATGGCTCAGTGGTCTAAAGCACCTACTTGAAACAAGCTTGGCAAAGCACAGGGACCGCGGTTCGATCCCCAGCACCACATGCCAGCCAGACCCGCCCCCTGGTGGGCTGAGCTGGCCACACACACACACAATAAATAAATGTAATAAAT